ATAATTTTAAAGGTTCTGGGTATCAGGCCTATCCCTAGGTTTCTGGTTCCTATCCTTGCACTGATTACAACAAGTGGATAGTGACCCAGAGAGTCAGGTCTCTGAGAGCCTGCTGAAGGAGGAGGTTGAGGGTCATGGACTCTGGATTGATTGGTTTGCATATAAATGGTGTGGGAATGGTAAGTCGCTTCAGTCGTGTCCATCTGTGCAACCCTATGGACTTTGGCTCGCCAGGCTCCTCTGTCCATGGGATTCTCCAGGCAAGAATACTGGAGTACATTGCTATGCCCGCCTCCAGGGGATCTTCTGGACCCAGGGATGGAACCTGAATCTCATGTCTCCTGCATTGGCAGCCAGGTTCTTCACCTGGGAAGTCAATATAAATGGTGTAGTTGTAGGCAAGTCCCTTACCATGCATAAGAATAGATTAGCCCTGGGAGGGGCAGTCCCTTCAGGTGCAGCAAGTTCCTAGATATCAAAACATTAAAATACAGAAAATAAAAAGATACGTCTAATACATGCTTTATCTAGGATTTGTTTTATTTCTACATTTGCCCACCCCAGGTTAAACTTTGATTACTTCTCACCTTGCCTATTTCCATAGCATTGTAACTAATGGTCTTCTTTCTTCTAATGTGTGCCATATATAGCTAAATTTTTCTGAAACAGCTTACTGTTTCTGAGCAGCTTACTCTTCTCTCTCAAAGGCACTCTCTTGACTGCTTAGTAAATTTCAAAGACTTAGCCTGGCCATTTTACTTTTTCAAAGCTTAACTTATTTTCCTTCATGCATCTAACCAAATCATTTAAGAGTCCCTGTATATACCACCTGCTTTTCTACTTTTATTGTTCACAATGAGCTTTGCTCAGGGTGTATTTCCTGTCCCGCTCCAATACCCTCGTCCCTCCTCACCTGCAGCTGCATCAGACACAAACACATGTACATACACACCACATACACTTCTTTTGAATTTGACCTACATTCATGCCTAACTCAAATGCCACCTTCATCATTTCTCTGCTTACTCTTCTCACCCAAGGTAATCTTTACCGCAACTTTCGTTATATCTTATGTGTAAGTCTTTTGAGGCAAATACAATTTTGTACTTGCATTGTAATCATATATATGTTTTTTCTCTTATTAAGACTGTCAACTCCTTAGGGCCCATATCTGATTCATATTGTATCCCTGCCAGCATGTAGCCTTATGCACAGTAATTTTATAAATAACAGTTAAATGAAAGAAATTGATTTGGTTTAGATTGAAATTTCTACCTTCATCTCATTAAAATAAAAAGAGAATAATAAAGGCACTTTTTCTTAAGCCACTCCTTTCCTCCTGCGGTTATTTCATCGTGAGATTCATGTATGTGTTGCATGCTTTAATGTCATTAGTCTCTTTTTTCATGGAAGTGATCATCAGATGTTCATTATATAGATACCAATTATATAGAATGCATATTTTCCAGTTACTGCCCTAGGTACTGAAGAAATAGGTGTGAACATAATAGATTAGGCCTCTGCTTCAGAAACTCATGAACTTACAGCTACATACCTCTTGTATCATGTTTTTCAGGCAAAACTTTCAAAATGAATATCTCTTGAATGTCTTCCTATTCATTGCCCACTAATTTACCTCTATTAAAAGTATCTGTTTTTGAACACAGCTTTTGAACACAGCTAGGCTAGATATGTACCATAAATTTCTAACATAATTGACTACAAGTACTTATTTCAATTTTTTAAATTTACTGGTATTTTCTGTGTCAAATTTACCACTGTATCAGGCAGAATACTAAGAGTTGGAGCTTTCATGGTAGACATAATAAACATGGCTCCTTCCCATAAAACTTACAGTCTGAAAATTTGGGAGAGTTTACTGAGGATTCTCATTAGATCACAGTAACTACCAAATTGGTAAATGCAACATCATTGCTAATTTGTTTCTATTTGGTCCCTGTAGGGAATAAAAGAGGAAGGGCTGGTTTATGAGTAAATATAATATGATTTCATTATGTATTTACCTAGCTTGAGATGTCTAGAAGACATTTAGCTGGAGCTATCCAGTTAGGCTGGTAAGCATTTGAATATGAAGATTGAGAGAATGTTTTGGATTGGATATAATGATTTGGGAATTGATTCAGCAATTTTTTTTATTATACAGCTACTGTGTATTGGGTACTATTGTAGGCACTAGGGATACAGCAGGCAACAAAAGAGCACAAAGTCCCTAAACTTGTGGAGCTTAGATTCTCAGGGTTGGGGGGTCAGGTGGGGAACATCTAATTCATAAGTTAATTAAGTAAAAATATGTTAGTGAGAAGTACTAAGGAGAAAAATTAAGGAAGGGGATATGAAGTATTTGAGGGGTATTTGACATTTTAGATAGGGGAGCTGGAGAAGTCCACATTAAGAATGTGGCTTTAAGACCTGGAGACAGAAAGGATGCTAAACATGTACACGTGTGAGAAGAACATTTTGGGCAGAGGAAATAGCAACTGCAAAGGCCTGGCACGTGTGAAAAATACCAAGGAGGACAATGTGACTGAAGCAGAGTAAACAAGGGAGAAAGTATTGATCATGAAATCAGAGCTCAATCTAGATGCATGTAGGACTTGTTAGGTTATAGTAAGATTTTAGGTTTTTGCGCTGAATGAGATGGGAAACAGAGTAGTGATATGATCTAACTTGTGTTTTTAAGGATCACTCTGGTTACCATGTGAAGAACAGACTTCAGGGAATTTAGATTAAGTGAGAAGATCAATTAGAAGGCTTCTGTAGTAACCCAAGAGAGGATAGTGTTTGGATCATGATAGTGGCAACAAAGAATGATGACAAATGATTAGATTCGGGATATATTTTGAAGTTTTTTTCACCTGAACAACTGGAAGAAAAACATTACCTTTGACAGAAAAAGGGAAAGACTGCAAGAGAATTAGGTTTACTAGACACAGAATAATCCAGTAGAGAGAAGCTTATGATGCATGAGAGAATGACTAGAGCAATATCCATAAATAGGCGAAAAGGAATGGAATCTGGAACACATGTAGAGGAATTGACCTAATCAAGAATCATGGATAACTCAGAGTAACAGGAGAAACAGGGAATATAGACACAGAGAGAGGGGCAAGTGCACAGATGTAACAGTGGGAGTATTTGAAAGTTAACCTGATTGCTTCAGCTTTCTCATCTAGTTAGCTGAAGGTAACATAGGAGAGGAAATGTTGATACTCAAGAAGTGTGAAATAATGACTTTAGAAGGGGTAGTAAAAAATTAACCAAGGTAATGCAGTGTGATTGCTGTCACATTAAGGACCCACTTTAACAATCTATAATTTAAAATGAGACCTGGCATCATGGTTAGATGTTTTTTCTCTAGCTTCACTTATCCACACGGGCTGAGTTAAATGCAATGTGTTAATATTTCAGGAACAGTAAGGACAACAGATCAGGATATCATTGGCATTTAAAAAAATGGTTTATCACTCATAGATACGAAGAGGAGGGAACCACATGGAAAAGCACTGGGATTTGCCACTGGCAGAGGAATTGATGTGCGACTGAGCAAGCACATCAGTTAAGGGCTTCCCAGGTGGCGCTAGTGGTGAGAATCTGTCTGCCAATGCAGGAGACCTAGGAGATGCGGGTTTAATCCCTGGGTCAGGAAGATCCCCTGGAGGAGGAAATGGCAACCCATTCCAGTATTCTTGCCTGGAAAAATCCCACGGACAGAGGAGCCTGACAGGCTACAGTTCATGGGGATACAAAAGAGTCAAACAAGACTTAGCAACTAAACAACAGTGCCCACAATATACTAGGTACTGTCTTATGTACTAGTGATATAGCAATCAACAAGACAAAGTTCTTGCCCTAAAGATGCTTATGTTCTAGTAGAGGAATATACAACAACATACAAAGTGTCAGTAGTAATAAATGCTATGAAGAAAAATAAAATGTGAAAAGCAGATTGTGGTCATTTTAAAGTATTGTATTCTTGTCTGATCTTGTTATGATTTGGAAAGTAAAAGTATTGTTTAAAATGTTTTCTTTGGAAACACTGCCTTTTTATAATTTAAGGGACAATCATTCTTATTTTATAGAAGTCTGCAGCACAATTAGAGTACTGGAATGAAAGAATGACTAGTTTTTTGTCTTAAGGAATTTGGTGAATTGATCCAAAAGTGAAATCATACTTCTACTCCTGGATGCAAATATTTTGATTATATTTTCTCTTATTAAAATTTATTCTGTAATTGTTCAGGCAGGAACATGATATTCTTTCCCAGGTTTTATTACTCATTCTTCAATCTGCCTACGTAACTGCAGTCTACATCTATTTATGATTACTATCTGTCAGGCATTTCCTAACCATAATATGGAAATGAATACATTTAATCCTCATAATAACCTATGTGTTGCTCACTCGTGTCTGACTCTTTGCGACCCCATGGACTGTAGCCCACCAGGTTCCTCTGTCCATGGGATTGTCCTGGCAAGAATACTGGAGTGGGTTGCCATTTCCTCCTCCAGGGGATCTTCCTGACCCAGGGATTGAACCCATGTCTCCTGCATTGGCAGGTGAATTCTTTTATCGCTGAGCCACCTGGGAAGCCAGTAACCTATGAGTTAGATACTATTATTACCCCCATCTTACAGATAAGGAAACAGACCCAGAGAAATAAGGAGACTTTTGATCTGACTGTCTGGGTTTCAAATTTCAACTCTAGTAGGAATGCTTCCCTCTAAGCCTTTATGGTTTAAATAAAATAATGTTATAGCAACCTGTTAGAATTATTGTGAGGCGAAAAGGACACAGTGATGGCAAACATTCTGGAGCTATGCTTACATATAACGAGCTCTCCAGTGGCTACTATTTTTTTTCTTGTTCATATGATCAGATTGTTTCCATGTTTCTAAGTGAAAGTTTGCTTTTTTTTTCTGTTGGCTAATATTTCTTCAATCCTGGATCTTCTGTGTTATATTTTCTTTTCCTGACATAGAAACGTTGGCTTAGCGCCAAGGAAGTCTATTAGCTTTGTTGGTGCAAGCAAAGGAACTCTAATGAAAGGAGGATATGCTGGTGCAAACCAAAGCAGAATGGCTATGTCAAAAAACATGATGATTCTACCTGAAGCAAAACAAGTAGAAAAAATGACTATTTCCTCTGCAAAGACAATCACACAGGTACTATTCTTTAGAATTCCGAATTTGTTTGAAAATGATGCTGGTAAGAACTTGATTGAAATGTAAAAGGTAGAAAGTATGCTGTGGTTTTTTTTTTTTTTTTTTTTCGAAATTCTTTTTAGGTTTTACGCTTGGGTCTGTGATCCTCTTTGACTTAATCTTTGTATATGGTACAAGGTATGGTCTGCTGTTGTTGCTGCTTTTGCATAGAGGTATTCAAGTTTTCTAGCACCATTTGTTCTGCACCAGAGGGCATGCGGGATCTTAGCTCCCCAACCAGGAACTGAGCCCATGCCCCCTGCATTGAAAGGCAGCCTCTTAACCACTGGACCACCAGGGAAATGTGCTGCTTTGAAACAATAACTTACTTCTAATACAGTACCGGCATACCTCAGAGATATTATAGGTTCAGTTGGAATAATACACTGGAATGCAAATATCACAATAAAGTGGGTCACGTAAATTTTTTGGCTTCCCAGTGCACATAAAAATTATGTTTATGTTATACTGTAGTCTAAATAGAGTGTGCAATAGAATTATGTCTAAAAATTCCAATGTAGATGACTTAATTTAAAAAATCTTTAATGCTTGTTGGAAAAGACTCTTGAGAGTCCCTTGGACTGCAAGGAGATCCAACCAGTCCATCCTAAAGGAGATCAGTCCTGGGTGTCCATTGGAAAGACTGATGTTGAAGCTGAAACTCCAAAATTTTGGCCACTTGATGCGAAGAGCTGACTCGTTGGAAAAGACCCTGATGCTGGGAAAGATTGAGGGCGGGAGGAGAAGGAGACAAGAGAAGATCAGATGGTTGGATGGCATCACCCACTCAATGGACATGGGTTTGGGTGGACTCCGGGAGTTGGTGATGGACAGGGAGGCCTGGTGTGCTGTGGTTCATGGAGTTACAAAGAGACAACTGAGTGACTGAACTGAACTGATGCTAACCATCCTCTCAGCCTTCAGTGAATCATAGTAACATCAAAGAGCGCTGGTCACAGATTACCATAGCAAATAAAATAATAATGAAAATATTTAAAATATTGTGAGAATTACCAAAATGTGACACAGAGACTCAAAATGAGCAGATACTTTTGAAAACTGGTATCAGTACTCTTGCTAGATGTAAGGTTGTCACAAACCTTCAATTTATTTTACAAAAGCCACAATATTGAAGTGCAATAAAGTGAAGTGCAATAAACTGAGGTATGCTGTGTTGTGCTAAATCGCTTCAGTCATGTCCAGCTCTGCGACCCCATGGACTGTAGCCTGCCAGGCTCCTCTTCCTTGGGATTCTTCAGGCGAGAATATTGGAGTGAGCTGCTGTGCCCTCCTCCCTGGGATCTTCCTGACCCAGGGGTCGAACCCACATCTCCTGTGGCTCCAGGATTGTAGGTGAAGTCTACCACTGAGCCACTGGGAAAGCCCGAAATGAGGTATACCTATATTGATATATTGACTTCGTTAGAGTCTTTACCATACAACTAACATATCTCACAGCATAATACTGGCAGTTCGCTCCTATCATCATTATTAGAGTGGAATGAAGAGAGTCTACTCATGACCTTAAGAATCAGCTCATGCTGCTATAGTACAACACTGTAGATTGGGTGGCTTATAAACTTATTTCTTATTGTTTTGGAGACTGGAAGTCTAAGATTACAGTGGCAAATGGTCGGGTACTGGTGATGACTTTCTTCCAGGTTGCAGACTACCAACTTTCTCTGTATCCTAACATGGAGGAAAGAGATTTAGCTAGCTCTCTAGCTTTTTTTGTAAAGGCACTAATCTCATATGTGAGGGCACTACCTTCATGGCCTAATTACCTTTCCAAGTTTCCACCTCCCAATACCACCACACTGGGATTAGAGTTCCAGCATATGAATCTGGGGGTACACAAAACATTCAGTCCATAATGATTATATACATATTACATATACATTATATACTATATATACATTATATGTAATGTGATATATTATTGTATATTATGTACATATTACATAGTATCAACACCACTATGTAAAAGGTATAATGCATCATGACCAAGAGGAGATAATACATGCAAGGTTGTTCTAATATTCATACTACTTGTCTTATCAGTAGATTGAAAAAAATGTGATTATCACAACAGATAAAAATAATTTGAAAAATTCAATATCCATTAATGATAAAAAATTAATAAAAAACCATTTAAACTAACTTGAAAAAGAAAGAATTTCCTCAGGAGCATTGTGAAAAACCTACAGTTACTAGTAATCTAGTAACATATAAAAAGAATTTTATGCCTTGAGTGCATTAGTTTCGTAAGACTACCATTACATAATATCACAGACTGGATGGCTTAAACAATGTCCTAATCTCCTCTTCCTCAGGGACACTAGTCAGATTGGATTACCTCATTTTAACTTAATTATCTCTTTAATGGCCCTATCACAAAATTCAGTCACACTGAGAGGTCTGGGAATTAGGGCTTCAACATATGAATTTTTTGGTAGGGTGAGACAATTCAGCCTATAACATTTACCAAGTGGGGTTTATCCCAGGGATGCAAAGTACTTTAACATCTTAATATCAATGTAATTTACTACATCTCATATCAGTAAAATAAAAAACGATGATCATCTCAATAGAATTAGAAAAAGCACTTTGCAAAATCCAACATCTTTTCATGATAAAAAATGCTTTAAAAACTAATAATAGAGGGAATTCAACTTGACAAGGGACATTTATGAAAAACTCACTAACATCAACTTAGCAGGCAACTGGATGCTTTCCCTTTGATGTCAGGAACAAGACAAAATTTTCTTGCCGCTTCTATTCAGTGTTGTACTGGAGGGTCTAAAAATAGCAATTAGGCAGGAAAAAAGCAACAACCAGTTTGGAAAGGAAAAGGTAAATCTCTTTGCAGATGACATAATGTTATGTGCATAAACTCCTAAGAAACCCACCAAAAAGTATTAAAACTAGGGAACTCCCTGGAAGTCTAATGGTTCAAACTTGATCCTCTCACTGCAGTGGCCCAGGTTCAATCCCTGGTTAAGGAACTATGATTCTATAAGCTGTGGCATGGCCAAACAAACAATTAAAATTAACTACTGAGTTCTGCTAGGTTGCAGGATACACGATCAATATACAAATAAATTATACTTTTTACATTTGGAATAATTTTAAAATTAAGGAAACAATTTCACAGTAACATTCAAAACAATAAAGTACTTACAAATAAATTTAATAATAGCAGTGACATCTTCAGCTCCAAAAACTGTAAAACATTACTGAATGAAATTAACAATGACCTGAATAAATGGGAGCACATCCAAAATTTATGAATTGAAAGACTTACCTTTGGTAAAATTGTGGTACTCCCCAATCTGATCTGTAGATTCAGTACAATCCTTATTAGAAATATCAGCAGTCTTCTTTGTACAAATTGACAATTGATTCTGAAATTCATATGGAATTTCAAGAAACCCAGCATAGACAAAATACTCCTGGAGAAGAATAAAGTAAGCAGATTCTCACTTCCCATTTTCAAAATTTACTACAAATCAACAGAAATCAAGATAGTGTGGTGTTGATTGGCACAAGGATAGACACACAGATCAATGAATAGAATTAGGAGTCTAGAAATAAACCTATTACATCAATGGTCAACTGATTTTTGATAAGGGTATCATGACTGTTTTAAGAGGATCTTCAATAAATAGTGTGGGGATGACTGGATAGCCACATTCAAAAGAATGAAATTGGACACTTACCTCATACCATATAAAAATTAATTCAATATGAATCAAAGACATATACAAAAAGCTGAAACTAAAAAACTTAGAAGTGGTAAATCTTCATGACCTTGGACTTTGCAAAGGATTCCCAGATATGATACCAAAAATGTAAACCACAAAAGAAAAAAAAAGCAGATGATTGAACTTTACCGAAATTAAAAATATTTGTGTTTTGAAGAACATAGTCAAGAAAGTAAAAAATCAACCCACAGAATGGGAGAAAATATTTGCAAATGATCTGTCTGTTAAGGGATTTGTATATGAAATATATAAAGCATTACAACTCAAGATAGACAAATAACCCAATTAAAAACTGGTCAAGGGATTTGAATACTCATTTCTCTAAAGAAGGTAAAAAAGCACAAGGTAAGATGCATGACATTATTAGTCATCAGAGAAATGCAGATCAAAACCAGTGAGATCTTTACTTTATACTCACTAGGATGGCTAGAATCAAAAAGTCAGATGACAACTGTTGGCAAGGGTATCAAGAAATCAGAACTCTACTGGTAGGAATATAAAATAGTCCTGACACTTTGGAAAATGGTTTCATAGTAACTCAGAAGTTTAAACATACTATTACCATATGACCTGGCAATTCTACCTCTAGATATATACACCCAAGAGAAATTAAGATATATTTCAAACCCTGAAACTTCATACCCTGACTATTCATAATAGTCAGCAAGTGGAAACAACCCAAATATCCAACAGTGAGCAAATAACTAAACAAAATGTGATATATTCATACAGTAGAACATTTTTCAACCACAAAAAGGAATGAACTACTGATGCATGCAGCGTTGTGGATGAATCTTGAAACCGTTATGCTAAATGAAACAAGCCAGTTACAAAATACCACACTCTATGTGATTCCACTTGCATAAAAGTCCAGAATGGAGAAATCTATAAAGATATGAAATACATTAGTTGTTGCCTAGGACTGGGAGATTGGACTGAAAGACTGAAGGCAAAAGAATGGGGCGGCAGAGGAAATGATTAGACGGCACCACTGACTCAATGGACATAAGTGTGAGTAAACTCCGGGTGATAGAGGAGGACAGAGGAGCCTAGCATGCTGCAGCCCACAGGCTGAAGAGTCAGATGTGTCTTGTCCACTGAAGAACAACAACAAGGACTGGGAGAAAGACAAGTGTTTGGGAGTCAGAATTAAAGGGTACACAGTTTCTTCTTGAGGTAGTTCTAAAGTTAACTGTG